CACCGCGACCCGCGCGCTGCGATGGTGACCGGGGCCGCGATTCCCGAAGAGGCTCCCGAGTGGGGCAAACCTCTGGATTTTGGAGCTGGAGCCCAAGCGAGAGGCTGAGCCCTGCAAGGTCTGCTACCGGCGCTTTCCCTCAGCGCCAACATCACCCAGGTCCTGGCAGGGACACGGAGGTTGGCACCCCGACAGCTCCGGCTGTGCCACGATTACAGGCTGCGGCAGAGCTGACACCCCGCTTCCCCGTGTCCCAGCCCTCTGCTCCCCGAGGTGCCCGCAGCACCCCAAGGGTGCTGGCACACAGGGGGCCCACCCAGCAGCTCCACGCTCGGGGGCATCGCTGCGGGACACAGGGACACGTGTGAGAAGAGCAGCCGTCCTCCCCCCGCACGCCTGGGGCTGCTCTTCCAGCACCTTCATCCCGTTCCAAGAGCCGGCCTGCTTTGCCTTTTCTCAGCCAGATACTTCAGGACTTCCACCTAAGTTCGGTTTTGATCGACACCTATCGATACCGTCTGTATCTAGACCAGAGGCAGATATTCTCTACCTCTTAAATCAACGTTTCCCGTGGTTTATCTGAGATAAGCGGGGCCGCAGGGAAGGCTATGGGACTGCCCTGGAGTTCTGCAAAGGTCACGCACTTTCTCCTAATGTTACACGTCAAGTTTTGTAGATGTTTTCCGCGGCTCCCTTTGCCAGGAAGGGGCTCCCCTCCCCTCCAGAGGAACGGCTGATCCCAGCCATCGCGCAGCCATCTCGCTCGGCCATTTCTTCCAATGACTTTTTAAAAACTCCCTGCGGCAGCGACAAAGCCCATGTAACGCCCCTACCCGCAAGGCAAAGCCCCCAGAGGAAGGGGACTCCATTTATAGCTGAGGTTAATGCCGCTCCTGTCACCAAAGGATGGTCCTTGTCCCACGCAGACCCTCCCCAGCCCTCCCAAGCAGAGCGTACCCCTTGGGTTTCAGCGGCACGACGCCATACCAAGGCACATAGGAAGGGAAACGTCGCCCAGGGCGTGGTAAATCTTCTCCTACAAAGCTTTCCTGGAGGACTCAGCTGCCACCGGCGCTCTGCAGACTGTCCCCAGCTTTTGGGGACGCTTGGCCTTCCCTGTAACCAGTCCAGCCTCGCTGGAGTCTGCCCGCCCCTGTAACCGGTCCAGCCTCGCTGGAGTCTGCCCGCACGCCAGGAGGGAGCCCAACCCTGCAGAGATGCCCGGTGGTGGGGTCTGCTCCCCAAAAGGGCTCTCCAGCCCTGCTGACGTCCTGCCACAAACGAAGGAGGCGTTTTGCTCCTGCTGACCCCAAGTGGGGATTTACTGGGGTGAGAGGGGCACCCCTCTGCCTTCCCCACTGCTGCTCCCACCCCTCTGCCCGCCGTGCTAAGCATCCCGCCGCCCTCCGAGCCCCCTGACCGTCCCGGATCCGTGCTGGGCGGCGAGGGGAAAGGCAGCCGTTCCCATCAGCTCCCGCAGCCAGCAAGGAAAACTGGCAAAACCCCAAACCTGAGCTTGTGAGCAAAGGGGAGAGCTCGTCCTCGGCACCCCGTAGCCAACCCAACCAAGCGCTCAGCCCTCCGAATCCCCCCGCCGAGTCCCCGGCAGCCTGCCGAGCGGCGCCGGGCTGGAGCTTCATCCCCTGTCCCGTGGGAAGCTGATCTTTCCCCCAGCTGCTCCCTGCGCTTTCACAGCCGGCTGGGAGCCGGGGACCCGGATCACCCAGGGTTTGCTCCAGCAAGAAGGGACTGAAAGCGAATAGGTGAAGAAAAAAAAGTAAAAACCCCCCCAAAGCCAAAGGAAAACAAGGAACTCACCCGCCATCCGGGCCGAGCGCCCAGCAGCCCGAGATGCGGACGCTGGAGAAGGCCGGGGGACTGCTCATCTCCACCCGCAGCAGGAGGTGATGCCGGGCAGAGGGTGTCACCCCCCGTCCCTGCCCGCGCTTCG